TATTTCTAATATGGTATCCGTATGGATATACTGTATTATGGGCATGCATGTATTCAGAGTCTATAGTGACTCCATATCGCCTATTCTTTCACGTTGAATGCCTATATTTTATGGGACTTGAAACAAGATCTAGGCCTTTTCGCTACCCGTCGGTCGATAAAAATTTGCATTATGGCACTGTTGGTGGCATTACTGGTTCGTGACCATGGTATCATTATCTATCAGCTCATCATATCTGTTTGCTATTACGCCGGAATTTGCTATGCTCCCCAAGCATCATGAATGAATCGAATGGTCCATATTTCGTTTCAAGACCGGAAAAGAAACTGGTGGATGTAGACCAAACACCTCAAATTACTGTGCCAACTACCAATTAATTTTTCGTTGAACGGGCAACCTGATGACAGCATCGACGCGTTAAACTCCAAGCCCCTCCAAGCACTTAACGCGATCCTATTTCGTTTTTTAATTGACCCCACAAAGATTCAGATCTTAGTGGGTACCCGTCTCGACATCGGCTGGGCGCGATCTCTGGCTACCGAAACCAAAGAAGCTTCTGCGCGATCCACCTTGTCTGCCGTCATTGACTCTTGCTGCAGCGGGTTGTGTTGGCTGGCGTCGTTCAGGGCCCACGCCACTTTCTTGCCGACTATACTCGGTCCTCTCTTGACGCGCGGTTCCGGATGACGCGTTGAATCGATCGAACTCGGCCGGATCGCTGGGATCGACTTCCGGTACCGGTAGGTTGCTGTTGCGGAGATTCTTCTTGCCCTTCTTTCGCAGGTAGTTCTCCAGTGTCACAGCGTTGCGCGTGTTTGCAAGTATGATGGTGTCGGCAACATCTCCCACAAACGGTACCAACCCGGCAATGAAATCGACTATTACCAACAGGTACATCCCAATCAAGATGTCAGTTGGGAGTCCTCCTTCAACTTGCTTAGCGGTGCGGACGACCATCAAGGCTAAAAGCGCGTCGACGACATCACCAACACTGTCACCACGAATCCCCGTTAGCTTGCACTCGTAACAAAGACGTACGAGCAATAAACATTTAATGCTTACATGGGAAAGAGACCAATGATGCTGCCCCAGCCGAACTTCAGTCCCAAGAAGCTTCCAAAGCTCATGTCCAGTCGGTATGCCCTTCTCTTCACCTTGGTCAAGACCTGAGCGTCGTGCTCCGAGATTCCAGGCGGCAAGGCCTTGCGGACCTTCTTCGTCTTCTTAGACGGTCGGCCATCGAGTCGTGTTGCGGGAACCTGTTCGAAGTATGGATCCTATAATTCGCATTGCTAAATTAGCAGACGTTTCTAAAATGTGGTGTTGATCGAATGGTGTCGACGAAGAGTTACGTCACTTACTGCGACTCCGAATTGGTTTCCCGCCGTCTCCTTAAGAACCTTCTTCAAAATGAACGAAGCCATTTTGTGTGCAATCTAAAATAGGATTCTCCGGTTTGCGACTGTGTAACAAATTAAATAGAAGAGAAAACTAGAATGTTTCCGTAGGAATAACAGGTGTTAAATTTAGTAGGTATTGTAGGTAGGTAGAAGCGTAACTGTCGTACGTCCAAATTCGAGATCTGATGTGTAAATTAAGCGCCAGGCCCGTTAGTTAACGGGGAGAAGAGTTGGGCGAACGATTCCAATCTTTGAAACATTAAATTATTATTGAGACAACTAAGTGGCACAAAGGGAAAAAAAGACTAAAGTGTAGGTTTTGTTTTGTTTTATTTCCTGGCACCTGCAGGGACAAGAAATGACATACGCATGTAACACGGGTTGCTATTGTAACATTTCCAAGTTTTAGTTTTTTTTTCCCTTGGTGAGGGTGCATCATCATGCCTCGGTTTTGCCAGCTTGGTGGCCAAGCTTCTCAACCAATTGGGAACTTCTACAAATATCACCCTTGCAACCCTAAGCATTCTAACCTGTACTATGTAACTAACGTCTCGCAATAATCAATATCACCGAGTTAGAGAGCGAAAACATCACACCTTTCTCAATAATGATTGTTATTGAAAAATACGCTGATGTGAAAGCAATTGGGCTAGTTGGGAGGTAACCAAGTCCTCAAACAAGTGATGATGTCAACGTGCGAATGTGTTACACCGCAAGCTAATGCAGTGCCCAATTAAGGTTAATGGATCTCCAGCGCATCTTATGTACCGGGATCCCTGTCTAGGAGGGTTCGTTCGTGACCTGTACAATTGTGGCTGATGTATAGATGTGGCGGTACACAGCCACGATATTGGAGTTCCCATTCCGATTCTCCCCTCAAGCGCGCGTCGACGCCCTCCCTCTTAAACTCTACTGAATTATCATGTTTCTTATAAGCCGTAAGTCATTACATCGTGAATCGCTTTGTCCGTCACAGTAGTTGGCCTAGCTGGCCTAGTTGGCAGGTTGGACATTCAAAACTTGGAGTCGGTCGGTTTTATTCTAGGTCGCTCTGCGTTTTTTTCCCTTTCCTCATCGCTAGAAACCCAGATGTCGCAAGGACTATTAAACCACCGATGATAATTGTTGATCCTGCCCAAATTTGTGCCCATATGTATTTGCCATTGCTGGCGTCGATGATGGCGCCCATCGTCGGAGGTCCAGCGAGAGTGGCAAATCCGCAGACGGCAAACGCCATACCGATCCACGTTCCCATCTTGGTTATGTCCGGGACAAAGCTGCTAGCTGCACTCGAGAAGATTCCCTGCGCGGCTCCGTTGACAAACCCCATAACCACAGAATACGCGTACATGTCTGCTCGTTTCCGAACGCCTATCCAACCAAACGCCATGACGCCCAAGGCGAGGCAATTCAAGCCGAATGTATTGACGGGTCCGACATAGCGGTCAGCTATGAATCCAAATATAGGTCTTGCGGGTATGGCAACGGCGTTCGTTATGAGCACGAAGTTGATTGACTCCAACTCGCTCAGTCCAATACTCTCTCGAGCGAAGGAATTAATCTGGAAAGGAACATAGACGATTAGCAGCCAGCCTCTCATTGCGAGCCAAAGAAAACAGGCCTCGGCTTACATATATTAACATGGTAAATAGGGAAAAGTATATCAAGAACGCTCCAACCATAAACATGGCGTAAGGGGCATTTCTGAATGCTGTCCAATCAACAAAAGGAGTCTGTCGCTTCTTCAATTTCCGCGGCTTTAGGACTAGGAATCCTATGAAAGCCAAAAATATCGATATAAATCCACACGTCCTAACTGCCCACTGGAAGCCGATCTGCGGGGTGAGGAACTGGATGATCGCAGGGAATAGTATCGCGCCGGTGCTCGACCCGCATCCGTTTATGGCCACGGCGAGGGATCTTTTCTTTCTGAAATATGTCGTGACGTTTGCTGTAGCCGGCATGAACATCAGCCCGCCACCGATGCCGCTGCAGATTCCTTGTGCCAGCAGAACCTGCCAATACGCCGTCGCCATGCTTGTCATGAACATGGCGAATATAGACACCATGGCTCCAACAGCGTACATCAGCCTCGGGTAGCCCGCATCCGAGAGTCTGCCGGATATCATGCCTACGACGAAGCACAAGAATATTTGTATCGACCCTATCCAGGACACCTGAGATGCCGGCCAACCCCTTGTCTGTTTGTAATAGAGCTGAAAGACAGAGAAGCCTGTGCCGTAGCCCCAGGACATCATGTTCGCGATATGGGCTGGAAATGTCTGGGACCAGGCGATAAGTCCACCGTCGGGCGGTTCGTCGTCGGGCGATTCGTCATCGGGTATCGTTGGGAAGTTGGCGACTATAGGACCTATGACCTCCTCTAATACAACATTGGGGGTATTGGGGGAGCTTGGGTTGGTGTCTTTTTCTTCTTCGGATGGTTCCTCCATGTTGTTCAAAATCCCAGCCATACCTCTAATTTTAAAAGAGAGCAAAGATAAAAGCTAGCAAATATAGCGTCTAGTGGTAAGTCGTATGTATTCTGCAATTATTTCTTGAACTATGCTTGACTCAAAATTTAGGAGTCTCCTTTTAGGAGATAAAGGGCCATATAAGTGCCATATAAACGCCATATAAACCTTCCCTACTATTGAACACTTCCAAACTCAAACACAAATTCATGGCCTAACCTTCCAGTATTTCCACCTGGTCCGACATCGCTATGTTTTTACAACGTTGCTCCTGCAATATACGATATGTCAATTCGCGAAACTCCACTGCAAGGGCGTGATCAGGGAGAAGCGACAATGGCCAGAGGGTAGGTCAGAAGCGGTGGTCTCGTAGATGGTGGGTTGTGAGCTCCGAGATCCTACCTAAGGAGTCATTTATTCCCGGAGACCGGAACGGAAACGGAGCACCGAGATTCCCCTTCCTGCATCGTCCCCGTTCTCGACCTATCAAGGACCAGGAGCGCATCGATATTCAAGGTCGCAGCCAGCCATGCGAGACCGCCGCATATCGCAAACTGGATAAATGACTGCTGAATCGAATTTGATTACGCGATCGTCTATCATCGGCTCTTCCATGACGATAAGAAGACTGTGTAGATCGGTCCGATGCATTGCTACGGTCCCAGTCATGCCATGTAGATCCTATCGTTCTGTGTCGTTCTGTAAATCTAATAGGCAATCTCCTTTCGATGGAAACGTTCAGACGTCTCTGTGTAAGTGCCGTAGCTGTTCGTCCACCGATGGTCAACTCGAGAAATCTTATTGGCTTCCGACCTCAAGCAATCTTGGTCAAAGGCTCCAGAATATTTTATCTTGCGTCCTAGCTACGGAGGCTATCTTGTAATAGGAAACGCTCGGGTTTATGATAGGTTAATTGGGTAACTCTAGGTTGGGTTGGATTGGATTGGATTGGATTATTGTAGACCGCTTAGAGGAGAAAGAAAAGAACTCCCCACTTTGCTTATTGCCAAAGCCCAATTACCACCGCCAAAGTCAAAGCGAATTAATCAGATTTGTCAAACTGGCTAGATGCGGGGAATATATACTATCACCGACAATTTTTTAATATCTGTCGAATCATGTCAAAAGTCGCGTGGTCTAATGGTTATGATTTCTCGTTCACATATATGTGTTCACTCTGTATAGATCCGAGAAGGTTCCGTGTTCGATCCACGGCGTGACTAATTTTTTGACATCTGTACCTTAATTTTAAGGCAAGATCAGGAATGCATTCAGTTATTCTTGGTTGATTTTATTTTGCTTTCTTACACTTTTTTTTACGACTTTATTTTCATTTGATCTTCCTTTTGATGACAATCACATCCCCCGCCTCTAAGAAGTTCGGAACAATCATACGAGACGAGATGCACGAAACCGTTATTTTGAGACATATCATCACTATCACATTCTAGACCTCAATATAGCATTTATGTCACCCAATTTGCATGCACATAAATAAGGAGGTAGTCTCGGCTCGCAGCAGAATAGACGTGGATACGGCAAGCTCCGTACATTAAGTACATATGTCATACGTGCATTCTATAATTTTCTACACACCGTGTTCAAAAATACAAATGAACTCCCCCACATGCATCCTGAGAAGTAGTCGCATATGTAGATGCGTGGTTCTTATGGTGCTGTAAGTGGCGTATGCGTAAGTGGTTAGAGTGGCTTGCAAAACCACCATATACAGTACCTACCTAGGTAGTACTACTAGTCCACGATTGTTTTATTTCTTTGCGCTCCTTTTCTTAATTATCTCTTGCTAAGTATTTAAACCTGATCGAGAAAAGAAACTTGATCTGATCTTCTTCTCGATTAAAAGCAATTGATCTCGGATGTTGAAAGAGGCTGTGCTGTGCTCATGACATCGACTTCCCTGCAGGTAACCGGCGACAGCTGGAAGACGTCAAGTAATAGGACGGACGGGCTGGGACATTATCGGATCGGCCAATATAAAAAAACATCCCGTGTGATTGGATTGCGCGTCTCATAGGTTGGGTAAGTCAGGTTGCCTGATTTTTTATATTGGCCAAGGGTTTTGATGTGCTAGAGTCTATACTGCACTGCGTCAAGGGATTTCTTTTCTTTTGGAGCTGATGTGTTTATGGCTCTCACTAGCTTGTTTCCTCCGCGACAGTATCATGGGTATACACTAGGAAAGCAGGCGGATCAGCTGAAACTTGCATTGCTAGTTAGCTCTCAGGTTCTTCATCATTCGCTAGAGATATTCGCAAGAGATGAGGGGATGAACTCAAAGCAAAAATTACTGCTAGGCTCGCTCGCCACAGCCAAGACTACCTCTCATCACACCGCTGAGGTCGTGTTCATAACTCCGTCTCCGTGAACCCAGCCCGGAGCCTGGTGATAGCAAATCGAAAACTTCTCTTTTCACGTCGGTCCCGATCCAGGAGGGTGTGTATAACCGCCATCATCCAGATATGGTTACAAAACGCGATCCGCACTTTCTGGTTTGGGTCTAAGCTGCTTCGTATCTTGATCTAATCGAGTCCTTTCGCGCTTAGGGATTGTTTATATGCGCTAGGTAATTACTGTTGCTACTAGTTTGCACGACGTGAAACCGAATTCCTTACTACATAGAGCCAGCCCATGTAATGCTAGATCCTGGACTTGATGTGACATATCCGTCATGAAGGAGGCGACGATCTTGGCCAAGATTCAGCTGAGATGTAATGGTAAGAAAGTGATATTATGGGGATTATCTCGTGGAGGCAGCATGTCCACCTCCGCAATGCTATGTCCATTAGAATAACGATCTCAATATAGTAACCGAAATAAATATTCTCAGCCGCTCCTTCGTCAATGTGGTACATGCTTTTCATGTAACACTGGTTACGACAAAATGCCACGACGCCCGCTTAGCAGAGAAATCAACCGCCACTACTGCGGTGCGACCAAAAATGTCCCTCGTAAATGTCGGCGATCGGGTTCCCGACTGAAGGGAACAATATATCATGCATCCAATAGCGTCTCGTCTCGCTCCCAGTCCTCCCATGTCGGCTTATCGTAGCCATTTGGCCGCGTCGGTCTTACATGCCCAATCTTGATTCCATCGACTTCTAGTGGCTCCTTCGGCCAATTCACTCTGCCGTCGTACGCCTTGCTATACGCGCTCTGCATGGTGTGGCGTTCGAACAGTATCGGGTGGAGGCGCTTCATACTGGCCAAGGCTCGTTGGCTAATCTCGTCGACGGAGTCGTTATGGTGTAGTTCGAAGAAGTGATCGCTGTGTTTACGGCGTAGCTGAGCCTGGACAGCATCCGGGTATTTGCCGAGCGAAAAGAGAAAAAGATCGTATTGGGACAAACTAGTTCGGCATACCCAGCTACCGCCCTGCGTTGCCCTGCGGTATATGCCCGAGAGAGCTGCGATGGTGCCGACGCATCCCGTACCGTAATCCGACATGGGAAAAGGCGGAACGACAGGTTCGTTGAGCCCCATGAACCGACCTTGCTCCCATGCCACGCCCGTGACACAGTCGGCGATCTGCTGCCAGCCTGGACGGCCGGCCCATTCGGCGCCTTTTTCAGTACCGCCAAAGCAGTCCTCGGAAACGTAGACGATACCCCTACCGCGACGCTCGGCCTTAGCTGCAAGGCTTTCGGGACTATAACCGAGCTTTGCGATAACGCCCGGTCGGTACCCATCGATGATGACATCTGCAGTCTCGAGCAGGGTCTCAAAAGTCGCGACGTCATGCGGGTCCTTGAGATGGAGGGACGTTGTATGTTTTCCGACGTTCACATCCAATTGGAAGAAGGGAACGTCTGGTAGATGCGACGAGGTAATCTTCAGCACGGATGCTCCATGAGCCGCGAGGGATCGGCCGATGGTTGGACCTGCAATCACCCGACACAGCTCGACAACACGAAGACCCTGCAGACATTGACTCGGCCCATTTGCAGAATCCGCAAATGGGACCGGTGGCGTTCCCATGCTTAGGGGCTTCACAGTAAATAAAGGGAGAGACGCCATAGCTTGGCCGTGGGCTGTCTTTTGGTACTTTTCATTGGTGAGCACGGGAACGCCTGCTTGATGATATTTTTGGTTTAGCTCTTCCAATTCAGCCCCCGAAAATCTTTTTACCGCCTTCTCGATAGTGTTAATGCACCCGCGGTAATCGGTCTCGGGCGAAAAGGCGGGGAGGCCTATCATCTCTAAAGTTGCGCTGGCCTCCAAGGACCCGTGTATGTGGTAATATTCGCCACGGTTCCTCGTCTCGTACAAGCCGGCTGAAAGTCGTCGGTAGAGATTTGATTGCGCTTGGTTTAGATCGGTATCTTGGTATTTAGGTTAGTACAGATATCTCTTAAAATTGTTTGAGCACGAAGCTGCGAGGCCTACCAGGAATTCGCTTCTTGATCCCAGAGCTACATTTATCCAGGCCGTCAAGGTTGGTGATATAGGTAGACATCAAGAAGCATGCCACACGCTCTAGGATGACATTGATTGCTCTCTCGTATTTTGGCCCCCGAATGTCCGCAATCGCTGCGGCAGCGCAACCTTCCATGGCCTTTAGAGCCGCCAACGCCTCTTGTTCGCGCAAGGGGCACGGGAAACATACGGAGTCCCCAGTGTGAGAATAACTCAGGAACTCAACACTCTCAGCACGTCTCAAGAACTCGTTTGGGAGTTCCGGCTTGATAGACCTGCATAGATGTTCGAAGGCATCTTTCGCGCCTTTACCTACCGAATAAGTTGCTTGTTCCACACCCCCGACAGGTGGTGCAGTCTTCATCTGTCTGACAGTCATGATGGCGGCAGCGAGTGCAGGGCATAGAGATAAGAGCGTGTGCGTGTTAAGGATGGTGGAGGGAGAAACAGCCAAGAGGGTACGCCACATAGCTGATTTAAATCTACTTCAAAGAATGGACGTCTAACGAATACAAAACAGAATATAGTACGTATATTACAACATATTGTGATTCATCAGATTCGGGGACATTCACCGTAGCATTCTGTCGGTGAAGTCGTGAACCGGAGATGTATGTAACGATGGAAATCTTTCCCAGGCTGGGCCGATAGGCGACGTCTGACGATCTGACCCATGGTGACGGCTCATCTGACCATGTACATATCGATGCTGACATAGAGAAATAGTTCGATGGATATGTTACTGATGCCGTGGGCTAGTACCGTAGCCAATATTCCGAAAGCCAGACAAACATATGCCGGACCGTTTAGTGATGAACTAAGGATGACAGAATCTGTCTGACACGTCAATTCGCGCACCGCACCCGACGATGCAGGGAGCAGCCCTTGTGGATGTTAAGCGGTGGGATCCATTGGCATGAAGACGCCAATACGGCTTCCACGATGCCGGAGACAGGAATCTAGTGGGATGATCCAAGTCAAAATGGACAGAAAAATGGGCAGATGTGCTTGTTTCTCATATCGAGCCCGCCTCCACGAAGCGAGGCAAGCGACCAGAAACATACAGATTCAGGCTCCTTTAGCACGATATCCAATGCTACCGACATCATACTGGCGTCGTCAGATTCGAGATGGTATCTGCGTATGGACCAGTTGGCGTCCACTGTGACGAGACCATGATCTATGAGGCAAGTGGGTTTGGAGAAGATTGATCTGAAGGGGTTACATGCAGGTCGTGAGTACCGAATCGAGTTCGCTTGGAGATGATTTAAAGCCATATGCAGTGACAGTAGTATGCTAATGCAAGTCAAGCTGGTGACAACTCAGCCACAGAGTATCCTAGCTGTGAGGGCCGGGTGCATCATCCGAAAGGAGAGTGACGGTAAAGGAAAAAAAAATGATATCTAACGGTTTTTCAGTGACACACTTGCGTTTGAAAAAACGGGCGTGGATGTTGACAGGATGTCTTGGATGGTTGTGAATTAAGTGAAGAAGAATTTAAGGAAAGTCTGATATATTTTATTTTATTTTAAATTGACCGCATTCTTTGGGAAGTCGTGACGGTTGAGCCGCAAAGATGGGGAACTCATCTGTAAGGTGGGCCCTGCTTGCTGAAGATAAGACACAGTACTCAAGGCTACTTATATCCCATGTAACACAAGACAGTAAAATCCCTGCTAAGCCTGTACCTCTTAGTATAGCTACAAGACCCGTCGTTCGTAACCCCCCTGAATGTTCTAACCACATGCATTTAGGTGCATTATCCGAAAGCGCTAACTGCTGGGAAGCT